CCCGTGGCTGGGAGGCACCCGGCGACCCACGGCGCGAGGCAGCGGTGAGGAGGTCGTGCGGGGGGCGGCGGTCTGCAGGAGGAGGAGGAGGTTGTGCGGGGGGCGGCGGTCTGCAGGAGGAGGAGGTCGTGCGGGGGGCGGTTTTCTTCTTCTTTTTGACTGCGGGACGATTTTTAGTGCGGGGCGATTAGCGATCGATCGTGGCTTGTTGCGTGGTTGGTAGCGTTAAACACAGAATAATTAAGGGCCATTAGATTTTGATGATGAATGGGTGTGATTGTTTGGATCTGCCCCTCTCTTTCTTTTATAGTGGTAGTAGATAGTAGATAGATGAGAGGGTGGAGAACTAAATCATCTGCACCGTTTAATAAAAGTAATCCAACAATCCATAGCCCTCGTATGTTTAACACCAAGCATGTTTTACTGTCAACCGAACTCCTCTGCCCATAAGAGAAAAAAATCGTGCCCACTTATCCTGCCCGCTCCATGCCCACGATCGCTCCACGATCTTTAACCGGAACTCACACACGCACGTATTCCGTCCACCTCCTCCCCAACCTCTGTAGCGGCAGGCTTCTTCTCACCGGATTCCCTTCTTCCCTCCTGCTGCGCGGCGGCGATGCGGTCGAACTCGTCGGAGAGCTTCCTGACGCGCTTCCACCGCCGCTCCATGGCCTCCGCCCTGATGCATCCTTCGCGCCCAGCCGCCGCCTCGCGTTCCTCCGCGCCCGGCCGTCGCCGACGAGGTGGAGGAGCCAGGCGAAGGGGAAATCCGTCCAGGGTCGGCGCAGTAGGCGAGCGCCGCGTAGGCGTCGGCGGCGCTGATGAGGACGACCCCCGACCTTACCCATCCTGCCCACGGAAGGCCTTGGGGAGGAAGACGCAGACGACACTGTCGAGGAGGATTGGGAGCAGGGAGCCCGTCTTGAGCCGCATTGCCGCAGCCACGTCGTGGCAGGTGCCTCCCTACCCGGGCGCTCTCCCCCGCTGCGGCGCCGCAATCCAGCCCGTATCAGCGCCTTCCTTCGTCGTCAATCTGCGGCCCCTTCATGCGCGTGGTGCGCCCGTCGCGCCGCCTCCACAGGCTGCACTGGTATGTGTTCGACAGGCCCATACGAAATTTTGAATTTATCTGTGTGATTGGTTCATAGTAATATTCTGCTTCGTCCATGTTGCAATGCTAGTTTATTGTATAGTTCTTCCCATGTTCAATACCGATGGCTGCTACTATCTCCTTTTTGTTTTGCGGAAGGACCTCAGCAATCGAAAGTACACCCACAGATACAAGGCACCCCACAGTGTGAATGATTTAGTAAAGTTCTAAGCTATCCAAGGCGTTGGGTTTTTTCTGTACATGGTTCAAAACGAAGAATGTACTGACATATAATTGCAAAATTTACATCACTGAATGATATAAGAAAAAACAGATATGCAATGCATAGGAACACTGATGTGGGTTTTAGATATGGAGTAAGCAGATCCCCTGAACGAATCACTTTGGAACACTGATGTGGGTTTTAGATATGGAGTAAGCAGATCCCCTGAAAGAATCACTTTTCTGAACAATGCAATTTCGTCACATTATGCCAATAGAAGGAAGAGAGTTAAACAAATCAACACATATCTTTTGGGAATATCGTTATGCTATGTCCAGTGATATACCATGTATACATATATAAAAGGTTAAAAGTGAAAAATGTCTAGCAAAAGAAACCATGCCCAGGAGCTCCATAGATTTTGGCCAAATATATTTTGAAGAACTGAGTTGGAATACTAGGGAGAGCAGGCCCGGGACATTGTTCTTTACAGTTAATTTTCTTCATCAAATTTGGTAGCCCCAAGATGCACCAGGAGTAGGCACAAGGAGGCGGACGGGGGCAGTTAATTTACTATGTGTTAGTTGTTAAATATATGTCCAAATGTTGATATTCCTACTTGCACGTCGTATGATTTTTTTTTGAAATGCTTTGTATGTTAAATGAACCATGGCGATGTTTTTGTTTAGTTGCCTCTGATGTGCATGCTTTTATTTTCTCTTTTTCTCATAATTCCTAGATTTAGGAAAAGATATGGGTGAATGATCTATAGGATTTAATAGCCCGTGCTCCCTTGCTGTCCATCTGCAACTCAAGTTCGTGCTCTACTAGAGCGAGGCTGCGGTCATACGAGGACATCATCAAGAAGATCTTCGATAGGTGCAGCCAACTGATTGATGTTGGTGTGGATGGCTTGTAGGTCGAGTCTTTCTCGGTTTTCTACTGCTATACCTCGCATCAAGAAGATCTTCGGTGGGTTTCATAATCGTAAGCTCAACTGTCATTATACAAATTGATTGCTATTACCATGCATGTGAATGTTTTGTTTGAAGTAAGTGAAACTCTGTTCGTCATGTGACGTTTTCAAATTGAATAAGTAGAAGTGCACATCTGATGTATATCTCAAATTAATGGTTCTAGAAATAATGAGTTATTTTTATGAACACGATGGGCAAACACATTTTCTTTATGTGTTGATCTAGAGAGAGGTTAACTTCCACTTTTACTGTCATTAACCTTTATTGCAATCCAGATAAGCACATGGTAAATTCTCTACTAAGTGTATATTTCTTGCATGTTATATATAAGCCCTTGGATTAATGCTGATGCTAAGTTTTTCTTTATTTGATGATGCGGTGAGAGGTTAACTTTCATTTTTACTGTCATTAACCTTTATTGCAATCCCGATGAGGTTAACTTTCATGTTGCCTTGCCTTGAGGCTTAGTGTAATATGTTGATAACTTCTGTTGATTGGATATAAGATTTTGGAAGCAATTTCATTGGAAATTTTGACATGGCCAATATTTATTTTTGTACAATTTGCAAATGTAGTAGGAAAATATTATATATTGACAACAAATCTACATAATCATCTCAATACAGTGGATAGCAGCCCATATATACTTCACAACTCAGATTTTCACAGTTGCATAAGGTGAATCCATATCTCACTACATGCATGCATAGGATCATCAGGTAATTACTAATGGAAGTTCGACTGGGTGCCACATTATAACTAATTTAAAAGAAGGCACTGTAGTTCAACACACATATAGTTGCATAAGTACATACATAGGATCATCCTGAAGTAGTACTAATGCGAGCTTGACTGGATTACAATTTAAGCCACAATATAACAATTCAAATAGAAGGCAGTGTAGTTCGTTGCTGCTTGCATGTGTGCTTGACTATGTCCTGCATGCTTTAGAAAAAAAAAGAGCACTGTGATACGGTTATCCTCGTGTAATCAGGCTAGTAGAGAGAATTATAACTTTTGGGTACTTTCGTTTCATGACTTTTGGATACTTACGTTTGGACATGAAACTGACAGTGCCGTTTATTTGTTGTTGTTATCCTCCCGTCCTTCTTAGTTGTTCGCCGTCACATTGTTGTCCACAATGCTGTTTAAGGATAAAAAGTTAGGATGGTGAATCCTATATTTGGAATTTTGGCATGTGATATGAGATGCCACACATACTCGTGTATGCCTTTTAACAGGGGCAGCGATCTGCGCCGGCGCACCGGCCTAACAGTTGGGCCGGTCGAGGCCCAGCCGTCCGATGCGGTTTGCATGAACCGTTAGATCTGTGCGCATACACGGACTGAAGCAACCGTTGCAGCAAAAAAGAACAGTATTGTTGCGACCGTGTACGAACATGCACAAGAAGAAAAACAGGGAGTTGGATCCCCCCGCGACTGACCGTCCCCGATCCGCGGCGGCGGCGGCTA